GTCACAGGCGACAGGACGAGAGGAAATGGCCTCAAGTTACGCCAGGGGAGGTTCAGGCTGGATATTAGGAAGAATTTTTTCACTGAAAGGGTTATTCGGCATTGGAATGGGCTGCCCAGGGAGGTGGTTGAGGCACCATCCCTGGAGGTGTTCAAAAGACAGGTTGATGCAGTGCTGGGAGATATGGTTTAGTGATGATGCTTCTTGTTTGTTGTGCGGGTGTCTATTTTTGTCAGAGTTAGGTTGACGGTTGGACAAGATGATCTTTAAGGTCCCTTCCAACCTAGAAGATTCTGTGATTCTGAGAACCCTGATGATTCCAACCGCGGCCCCTGCAATCGGTCGCTGTGCGCTGAACACCCCTGAGGGAGCCACCGCCGCCGCCACTCCCCCGCTTCCCCTCCGGCCCCGAGGGCCGCCGCCGGCCCGGGACGGGACGGGACGGGACGGGAGGAGAGCAAGGCCCGGCCGGGAGCAGCGCTGCCCCTCCGCTGCCCGGCTGCCACCGAGTCGCCTTGTAGGGGTCGATGTGACACATCTTGGTTAAGAGACAGTTACTTCCAATTATTATGGTATATATTTTTTTTAAAAGTTTTTTTTTTTTTTATCTTAATTTTTGTTCATAGCTAATGGTTCAGGCTGTTTCAGGTGAATGAGATAGGAATCGGCGGAAGGTGGAGGACCTGCTGGAGAAGAGCAGATTTAGATTGGAGATTAGGAAAAAGTTCTTCACTGTGAGGGTGGTGGAGCACTGGAACAGGTTGCCCAGGGAGGTGGTTGAGGCCCCATCCCTGGAGATATTCAAGGAGAGGCTCAATGAGGCCCTGGGCAACCTGGTCTAGTTGGGGGTGTCCCTGCTGACTGGGGGGGGTCAGACTAGATGATCTTTGGAGGTCCCTTCTGGCCTGGACCGTTCTGTGATTCTATGACATGAGAAGCAGTGATGCCAGTTGTAAGCTGCCTCCACCGCTCCAAGGGCAGGTGTCTCTGAGGATGCTCTCAGAGGAGACACGAGCTCCCTGGCTTGTTGCACAAACTCCGTTCTCACCCTTCACAAGGAAAACGCTAAATGCACGTTATTTTTTCGCCCCGTGTTCCCGTATGTCCATCAGCCAAAGCCCTCCACGGCATTGAAGTTAAAAATAAAGTCCGTCCCTTTTAGTGAATATTTTTGTCATCTTAACAGAAGGGTGTTTTTTCTTATTTGCAGAAAAAATAAAAAATAAAGACATAAAATCAGTAGCTGTTTTCATCGTACAGTGCAAAAAAAAAAAACAGATGGAGACTAAATCTAATCTTGGCACTAAATATTGCAGGGGGAACTTGTAAGATAAATGCTAAAACGGAAGTTATTTTGTTGAGTTTTTTTATCTTTCAGTGTCAGATTATGTTTATTCCCTTGTTTTGTGTTCAAAAAATACCAAAAGAAATACAGACTTTGTTTTTTATACATATATATGCAAATTAAACAATAACTATTACAGGTTAGTGGCAGCATGGATAGGAAATAGAAATGTATTAAAGGTCTCAATTCTGAGACTATAGTGGTGGTTTTGATTATTTGATTAAATTACTGATTTTTTTCCTATCAAAATTACGTGTTTGGATGCTGCTGTTACTGCAGAGGGTTTTCTCAGTTGTTTTGCGTGGATATTGACTCTTTGGTAACTGGAAAGTGTTGCCAACTGTTTGGTTTGGTTTTGGGGTTTTTCCACTACTCAGTAGCAGTTTTGTAGCTTTTCACAGTTTTAATCAGCATTTACATGAGCTGGAGTGGTCTTTTTAATTCAGCCCACTCAGTCAATCGCATGAGTCCTTCAGCTGGCCTTTCAGAAGTGCCTGATCCTGGAGCATGTTAAATTGCTAGAAACATTAAATAAACTTACTTGCCTTAACACAGCAGATACTTAGAGCTCTGCATTTCCTTCTAGAAGCTAATTATCCAAATAATGTTTCCATTTTTATATTGTTATTACACAAAACCTTCAATGATCGCAGTGTTTGTAATTGCCTCATTTTGTTTATTCTGACAGCTGAATTGCTTTTTTGTGTCGTTTTGCAGTTTTGGATTACGAAGTGGTCTAAATATGGTGGTTTTATGTCTGTAGCAGAGATTTGCTAGTAATTCCATTTTAAGAGAAGGCAATATCTGCATTTAAATTACTGTTTAATTTGCTGTGGTATAATAAATAGAACTGCTGTTATTTTAAAAACACAGCACATTCTCAGTAGTCTTCAATAATACAGTAGGCTATAGGTTCAAATCTCACTTTCAAAGTAAGCATAAATTAAGCCTTTATTCCTTTGTAACATCAAGGGTGGTTTTCAGAAGAGTATCCAGAGCGGAAGAAGCATACCTAACTAAATTCACTACAGTTTTTCCTTCTGTTTTCTTTGCGGTTGGAATGAAGTAACACTCTTCGTAATTCTCTTTTTTGTATTTATAAAAAGTTGTTGGAGGTGTTCTGCCACTTAAAAGAAAAATCTTTTAGTGTCTCTCAGATGTAAAGAGAGAGTGTTTTCTTGTGATGTATTTCAAGCAATCATGGTAACTTCTCATGTTATGCTGTCGGATTTTAATTTCGATTTTCAGTGAGAGGAATTACGTTGTTGGAAAAGAGATTTACTTCAGTTTTTTTCTATTTAGAAACAACTGAGCAGCCACTATGTTTATAAAAATTGGGAGAACGTTTTTGTTTTGACAAGTATGTTGTTGATTGCTTAATGGAATGTCAGGACTAACCATTTTTGTGCTTCAGGCTGAAAGTAGCTTCAGCGAAGAGGAGGAAGAAAAACTTCAAATAGCTTTTTCGTTGGAAAAGCAGGATCTTCATCTAGTTCTTGAAACTATATCATTCATTCTGGAACAGGTACTTTATTTTTATCACTATGAATTGATAATTTTTTTAATCCAATTGTAGATTTCAAAAATAAAAAAGTCAAATTAAAAAAGAATTAGTGAAGACATCTATCCATAGTATACTATGTATGCTTTGGGAACATGATTTTACTGCTTTTGTTTGCATGTATTCCTGATTTGGGTTGGACTCATTGCATTTGGGGAGTGAGTTTCCAGCTAATGTAAATATAGGTGGTGGAAGGGATCTCTGCATGACTTCAAGAGAAGTGTTGATAGTTAAGAGATACAGTCTTTATTCGTTGTAAGCAAGTCAGCCATGCATTTTTTTTAATTGCTGTAAGGAAAATATTAGATAGCGTTATTGAGCACTGCTTAAGTTACATGAAGTGTCAGTTATGGAAAACTTTCACGCACAGAAGCAGTCTGTACTTTGATGAACAGGCGCATCTGATGTAGCTCTAGCATCTGAATGAATAGGTGACTGCATGGCGTACAGCTAAATATCTTGTAAACAGAGAAGTTTTTCTGATTTTACAGTCTACCACTACTCAGGCTGTGAAGCCAATGTATTTTGTAGTAAATATGGTAGCTTTCTTAGAAAATATCCATTTCATGCAAGTATACCGAGTGTAGTCTGTGTAGAGGGCTTGCATACTGATAGTCTGTTGTGGGATTTGAATCTTGTCCTTTCTTATACATGTCAATGTGTGATTATTTCACTTAGTTAACACAGTCCAGTATTAGAAAGAAAACAATCAATCCTCCCCATAACTCCTATCCACTGAAAAATCAAAATGAAACCTGAGGTCTTTTCCAGAATTTTCTGGATTTTAGAATTTTCATCTCAGCCAAAAAGCAAACTTACCTGTTTTATTACCTGGTGACACTGCTTAGTTTCATAGAATTATCGAATGGAGTTGGAAGGGACCTTAAAGATATCTAGTTCCAACCTCCCTCCCATGGTCAGGGACACCTGTCGCTAAACCAGGTTGCTCAAAGCCCCATCCAGTCTGGTCTTGAACATATGCAGGGATGGGCCACCCACAACTCCTCTGGACATTTATATTATAATTATTGACGATGAACAGAAGAAACAATTCAGTCTCCTTTAGGACTTACTACTTTTGCATTTAAAAATAAAACAAAGGGAAGGTTATTAATATCCGCCCAAAAAAGGGTCACAGATGGAATACGTGTTGTATGAGGACTCTTGTGTTCCCACTCATAGCTACACTTCTTAGAGTAGCTGCTTGTTCTGTCAGAGCGTAACTTGTTTAACAGCCCTTTGGTCTATGGACACATTATAGAGAGTAAGACTGCTGCATGGTCTTTGCATGTGCTATTTCTTTTTTCTTTCTTCCCCCCCGCACCCTGATGCTGATGGAGTCTTGTTTTGAAAGTGGAGACCAACGTACTATGTAGAGTGTTTACCACAAAAATTGATTCTAATAGGGAGGTGATATCTAACTCACCTTTTTTGGCAAACTGTTCCTGTCACTTTAGAATATTGTCTCATAGTTCAGGCTAGCTTGAGCCATATGAGTTTGGATAAATTGTTCTTTCTTCATGGTCACAGTTGGCCTCAAAATCTAGGTTTTTTTCAGTGGTATCTGTTTTGGCATTATGTACAATGGAAACATAGACATATACACAGGCATTTTTTCATAGTTTGTCTCTCTGGAGAAGTCATTTGTAATTTTGCATTTTGAGATAAAATTGGTATAGTTAACTTTTCTATCTTCTCAGTCAGAGGGTTAAGATGAACAGGATGCTTGTAGTCCCACGGTAGAGTTGCAAGTAAAAATTTTGTGTGAGCATGGTGACCATCTGTGGTAGAATATATCTGGCACAACTGGTAGAACACTACTCAACAGTGGTTATTTTTCCATTTAACAGGCAGTCTATCATAATTTGAAGCCTGCTTCATTGCAACAGCAGCTGCAAAGCATTCACCTGGATCAAGACAAAGCTGAAGCATTTGCCAGTGCATGGGCGGCTGCAGGTCAAGATACAATTGAGAAGTTCAGGCAGAGGGTTTTGACCCCTCAGAAGGTAATGTGTTGTGTTTTTTTCCAAGGAGAGAATATAGCTGTGGAGGATTGTTTTAAAGTAATGAGTTTAAACTAAGCTACAGATTTTGTGACAAGCCAAGGTACAGGAAAATAAAAAGCGTAATTACTAGCCAGTAGATAAATGTGATCGAGGCAGTGGAGTTCCATTGTCCAAAAGAGATGTTACAGATTAGCTGAGCAGCTGTAACTGTTCAAACCTGACTGTACGTGTGCTATTAGCAATGTAAGGTAATGCAACCTACATACCATTTGGAGATATTTGTCAACATGCTTTACAGTAGGTCAATGATAAAATGTGCTTATGGATTAGCTCATGGGTTTAGCTCATCAGCCTGTTCTCTGTACTTGAACTGAATCGGTGCTCCTGACATCTTTAATTTTGTTAGCTGGTTGGATGGTCCATTTTGTGAGATAATTACTACAATTTTGAGATAATTTTCTATGATGGCATGATAATCTTGATTCACATGTGCCTGTTACCAGTTAAAACTTTGGTACATGCTGTGGAAGTCCCATTGTATCTTTAGGCATAGATGTCTACATCTATAAGAGGGTATAATAACATCGTAGCATCATTGAATCATTTAGATTGGAATAGACCCTTAAGATCTTTGAGTCCAACTATCAGCCTAAGACTGCTGAGTCCAACACTAAACCATGTCCCTCAGCACCACGTCTACCCATCTTTTAAATACCTCCAGGCATGATGATTCCACCACTTCCTGGGCAACCTGTTCCAATGCTTGACAACCCTTTTGGTGAAGCAATTCCTCCTAATGTCCAGTCTAAACCTCCACTGGTGCAGCTTGAGGCTGTTTCCTCTCAACCTTCTGTTGATTCATAATAAGCCGCCTGCGTAGGGTGTATGTAGAACACATCAGTGTCAGCCAGGATCAAATAGTTCAAAAAAGTTGTGGAACAGTTATTTGATTATTCTGGCTTTATTTTTATCATTACTATATATACTGTTGATATGAGATTCTCTTCGTTACTTTATGATTGAGTTATTAAAGTATACATAGAAATAAATTTTACATATAAGGTACACAAGATACACTGACAGAAATAGAACAACATAATTTATACCAGCAGGTTTACATCTAAATAAACCTAGAATTTTATTTATGTGTAAAACACACATTTTGCGAAGACAAGATATGTCTATAGAACAGACTAAAGATATTCAGAATTGTATCATTGGTGATTTTTCCAAAGTATTTAAAGTTGGTACTTTGAAAAACTGGGGAATTTTAGACACAAAACTTGCAGAATTTTCACAAACAAAATTACAGTAACTCATGAACCTAACCAAGTAAATGACTGATAATGTAAGGATGCAAAAAATTTGAGCTGAACAAGATATTTTGGGCTTCTGTCTTTTTGAGATAATATTTACCAATGCCAAGCATACGAGTCCCAAAGTGTAAATGGTCAGCAATACAGTAAGTATATATGTAGGTATGGCTGTCTGTTGAAGAAGGTGAGTAATTTGAAAACCAAGGGAAATCACAAAAAGTTATAAGGCTAACTTTTCAGAATAGTGAATATGTGTGCAGGATGGAAGGCAATCTTGAAGATAGCTTACAAAGCAGCTGTTTGAGATTTTTTTTCAGACAGACTATGCAGTAATTTGTATTTCACTGCTGGGTCTGCAGCTTATGAGAAACGCATAAAAAGACCTTTGATCCTCTTTTATTTGTGGGTTACACTGTACATGCCTGCGGTTCTTCTGTGACCTGGTTTGGAAATGACGTTGTTTTGTTTCTTGTCTGCAGTTTTGTGAGCCCTGTAACATAAAATGCTTCTGGTATATGTTACAGTTTTGGAGATTCTTTGTGACTTCAGCACCATTTCATATAATGGAATGGCATTTTGCTGGTATCTTACATCCCATACAAAGCAGTTTCAAACTGTCATTTGTAATTAAGGTTGCAGAAAAGCAACTGCAAAAATATCACAGTGCAATTAACTTGTTTTTTATCATGGAAGCAGGTTTAAATACAGGTATGTGCTTCTACGTATGCTTAAATCATCATTTTCACTTCCTCCTTTTTTTTTCGTTTCCTAGCCCAGATGACAAATTGAGTATCAGTTTTAGTGTGAGTTTAGATCGTAACGTGTAATCTGAACTTGAATTTATGTTCTCAGTTTTTTTGAAAGCCTCTGAAGTCTTAATCCTGTAGACTCTAGCTAAGTGAAAAAATCAAAGCTCACAAGAACTTCTCCTTAACCCAAGAGGTTAAGATCACAAACCTAATAGCTAAATAAAGTATTTATTCTGTGAACACGGAGACAAAATATTTTAAAAATTGCATAGGATAGTGGAAAAAGAACTTGCTATCTCCCTGTATCTTACAAATAATCCTCTGTAATATTACAAATCTCCTTGTGATGTCTTATGAGTGCAGTAGATGATTGCATGACCCTTCCATTGTTTCCTTGTATATTCTGTAGTAATTGCATATCAACACATATTTCCTGTACTATCTTTCTGCACCTTGAGAAATAGTGGGCAAAATGTTTTCTTACTTGTGGCGCATTGTTGTAGTAGCCAACTTGCTGTAAACATTGATCAACATCTCTTGAATTAAAAAAAAAAGTTAGAATTCTGAAAAATACTTGGATTATAGTGGTAGCTTTCTAGATTAGATTTTCAATTCAGGTATTTAGATTGATCTAAATGTTATATTAACTTTCTTTGTCTACAAAAATATATTGAATTAGTAACACCGCGTGCAACATGTATACAGGGGTATAACATGTAAAAAAATTGGTCCTATAACGGTGCCCTCTGTATAGGCATGTATATATGGCTGTGTAAGAGTACCTGCTTTGCATTAGGGAATCCTCTGACAGAAGCAATATTAGGTACAGAAAAAGAATTTGACATTTCTGTTGTCATAATTGCAGCAACGTAATCATAGAATGATTGGGTTTGGAAGGAAACTCTCTAGGTTATCTGGACCAATCCTACTGCTTAAGCAGGGCCATCTAGAGCCAAGTTGCCTAGGACAACGTCCAGGTGGCTTTTGAATGCCTGCGAGAATGAAAAATTCCACCACTTTCCTGGACGACCTGTACTGGTGCTTGGTCACACTCAAAGTGCATAAGTGTTTTCCTGCGTTCAGGTAGAGCCTTCTGTGCTTCAGTTTGTGCCCATTGCCTCTTGTGCAGTCACTGGGCACCACTGAAGAGAGTTTAGTCTTCTCTATACCTTCCCTTCAGGTACTTATATACATTGATGGTCCTTCTCTTCTCCAGGCCGAAAAGTCCCATCTCTCTCAGCCTTTCCTCATAGGAGGGATGCTCCAGCCCCTTCATCTTTTTGGTCCTTTGGACTCTCTCCAGCATGTCCAAGTCCCTCTTGAACTGGGGAGCCCAGAACTGGTTATAGTACTTCAGGTGTGGCCTCACCAGTGCTGAGTAGAGGGGAAGGATCACCCCCCTCGGCCTGCTGGCAATACTCCTAGTGCAGCCCTGGATACCATTAGCCTTCATTGCTGCAAGGACATGTTGCTGGCTCATCTTCCACTTGGTGTCCACCATGACTGTCAGGTCCTTTTTCACAAAGCTGTTTTCCACTTGGATAACACACGACATGTAGTGATGCTTGGGATTGTTCCTCACTGGGTGCAGGACTTTTGCATTTGCCCTTGTTGAACTTTCTGAGATTCCTGTCAGCCCATTTCTTCAACCTCTACAGGTCTGTTTGGGGTGGCAGCACAACCCTTTGGTGTATCAGCCATTCCTCACAGTTTTGTGTCACCTGCAAACTTGTTGATGGTACACTCTTCCCCACCATGCAGATCATTAATGAAGATGTTGAACAGGACTGGAGCCAATACTGACCCCTGGGGTACGTTGCAAGTTACTGACATCCAATTAAACTTTTTTTCTTCTCATCACCACCCTCTGGGCCTGGCCCTTAGCCAGCTTTCAGCCTGTCTTTCTGTCTGCATCATCAGCATACATCAAGAGCTTGTCTATGAAGATCTTGTGTAACACAGTATCACAGACCTCCATGGAGTCATGGTAGACCCTATCCATTGTTCTCAGCTTGTCTACCAAGCCAGTTGTTTCGTTGTAGAAGTTTATTAAGTTGGTCGTGTCACCCATTGTGAATCCATGCTGACTACTCCAAGTCACCTTGTTCTTCACATGCCTGGAAATGGTTTCTAGGATTAGTTGTTCCATCATCTTCCCAGGGATTAGGGTGAGGCTGACTAGCCTTTGGTTCCCTGGGTCCTCCTTCCTACGCTTCTTGAAGAATGGAAGTGATTGTGTTGATGTTTTTAAAAAACAGTATATCCATTATCTTTCGATTTTAACGTATATCCCCTTTTTTATTATGAGAAATACTAAGAGCGTGGTCTTTCTTATTTTTTATTTTAAACTACATACTCTATGATTTCTTACTCTCATTCCATGGAAGTTTCCTGCTTGTCATCCTTCATGTTATTTGTGTCTGATTTATTTCTTCTGTGTGAAGAAGGAAGTGATTGTGCCTCTGTACTGGGCACTGGTGTGGCCTCAGCTCGAGTACTGTGTTCAGTTCTGGGCCCCTTGCTACAACAGGGACATTGACGTGCTGGAGTGTGTCCAGAGGAGAGCCACCAAGCTGGTGAGGGGTTTAAAAAGTGAGTCATATGAGGAGACGCTGAGGGAGCTGGCTCTGTTTAGTTTGGAGAAGAGGAGGCTGACGGGACACCTCATTGCCCTCTACAGCTCCCGGAAAGGAGGTTGTAGAAAGGTGAGTGTTGGCCTCTTCTCCCAAGTGAATAATGACAGGCCCAGAGGAAATGGTCTGAGGTTGGGGCAGGGGAGGCTTAGATTAGATATTAGGAAGACAGGGACATTGACGTGCTGGAGTGTGTCCAGAGGAGAGCCACCAAGCTGGTGAGGGGTTTAAAAAGTGAGTCATATGAGGAGACGCTGAGGGAGCTGGCTCTGTTTAGTTTGGAGAAGAGGAGGCTGACGGGA